TGTGTGTGTGTCTGTGTGTGTGTGTCTGTGTGTGTATCAATTGGCTTGTATGCATGCATATACAGGCGTGTGGAGGTTAGCCATAGATTTTTGGTGTCCTCTTCAGATATGGACGACCTTATTTTTCTGAGAAAGGGTCTCTAACTGGTCTGGAAACTCACACAGTTGGCCTGGCTGGCTGGCCAGTGAGCCCCAGGGGTCGACCTGTAGCTGCCTTCTTAGTGCTGGGGTTGCAAAGACTCCTCGCCCTGCATTATTTTTTATTTTTTATTATTATCATTATGAATGCTAGGTTCTTGGGCTAGGCTCAGGTCCTCAGGCTTGCCTGGCAGCACTTTATGGACTGAGACTCTCCAGCCTTCATTTTAGGCTTTGCTGTAACCTCGGTGCCCCTTCCTTATCTGTCCCCCGTAACCTGCCATCCACAGTTCCCTTCTGTAATCTCGGTGCCCCTTCCTTGTCTGTCCCCCGTAACCTGCCGTCTACAGTTCTTTTCTGTAATCTCGGTGCCCCTTCCTTGTCTGTCCCCCGTGACCTGCCATCCACAGTTCCCTTCTGTAACCTCGGTGCCCCTTCCTTGTCTGTCCCCCGTAACCTGCCGTCTACAGTTCCCTTCTGTAACCTCGGTGCCCCTTCCTTGTCTGTCCCCCGTGACCTGCCATCCACAGTTCCCTTCTGTAATCTCGGTGCCCCTTCCTTGTCTGTCCCCCGTAACCTGTCATCCACAGTTCCGTTCGTTCTGTAGCTACACCTATAGGTGCATTCTGTATCCCAAGCAATGCTGAACGGTTGAACCAGCTCCACAGTTACACTACCTGTCTTGGCGGTCTCAAGTGAATTTTTACTTCCGATTTTGCTCCTGAAGATCACTTGAATTCAGGGACAGATAAAAAACACAAAATGTCATTAATAAACCCCTTCTATTCAGTGCTGTAGGAACGTTTGGATCAGAGCCGCTCAGCCCTCGGCAGAACTTCAACACCAGACTAGGGAACAGTCCAGCAGACAGACACACAGCAGTCTGTGTGTGACTCCAGCGTGCACTCCGGCCCCACACCGGAGCACTGCAGAGCCCTGGACTCATCTCCATGAGCCAAAACTGACTCTCCCCAGCGAGACCCACTGCACACCACTGGGAAGATGAATGGCTACAAAAAAGCTTTAGGGACAAGCACAGGATCTCAACTTCTCACACCAGACATCTGAAACACCTATGCTCTGGTGAGAAAGTCCACTGTGGTCAGGTCTCTTGCTGTAGATACTGCAGGAAGCTCACAGATGTCTGTCCTCAAGTCACTCTCTTGGGCCCATAAGCTGAATGTGAGAATCCTCCACATCACCACTGGAGGTTGACTGTTTTGAGTCACTGGTCTTTACTCCCCCAAAATGAACTAGTCCGTTAAAATCACAGACTCCACTGGTGACCACAGCGCAGTCCCAGGGCACAGGCCGAGTAGCCTCTCATACCCTCTCCTCCTCCTGTCTGTCTGCTCTTCACACCAACCTTGTCTGCCAGGCGCTGTTTGTACTCCCTGGTGCACCTCTGTAGGAGGTGACGCTCCTGGCCTTGGGAAGATGATTTTTCAGTCTGAGATACAGCACTGAAACAGCAAATGAGAACAGTTCTAAAGTCAGAAAAGAGAGAAGCCAGGTCGGGAGAGGCAGCCATGTCTCACACATGACCTGACCCCGAACCTGCCATCCTGCTCTGGGGCCACCCTGCTCTGGGGCTCTGCAGCGCCAGCTCCCCTCCCCCCAGGGCTGGGGATCTGAGGCTTCTGTCTGCGCAGTTCTGTGCTGCTCTGGAGACTTTAGGTCCGCCACTGAGACAGGGAAGAGCCACCTTCTTTATCGTCCCAGTGCCGACAGTAATTCCATATTTAAGGTCTTTTTTCAGTTTCTCAACAAAGCATCTAAAGGAATAGAGCAGAGTGACTAAGATGTACATAAAATGTCCAAATGTCTAAACGAGGCCCTGAGGAAATGAGTTTCTGCACAAAGAGTTTCAGAGATGCCTGGAGGCACACCCTGAAATCCCGAATCCCTTCCATCCCAGTGCCTGAAGAGAGAGAGGCTCACGCTCTCAGTCAGCCAGCACACTCAGCAAACAGCAGCTATCGAGAAGTATGGCTAAGCTGACCTGGTGCTTGCTTGTCATCCCAGTGCTCAGGAGACTGAGGATTGAATTAGTGATCCCTAGAACTTCGAAGAAACAGGCCATACTGCTGAACTTCCAAACAGGAAATAAAGACAGCGGGCTCTTTCTTCCACTCCCAATAACAATATGGATCTTTGCTCATCCAGTACCTTAGTGTATTGTTTCTCATCAGGACACAGGCTCTCCTTAGAGATCATTAGGTAATGACAGGAGACAGAGGGGGTGCCCAGAGCTAGGAGGAACTATGCTGTGGAGACCTAATGGGATGCTGGACCCAGGGATGCTGCTAACCTGCTTCAACACTCACTCAGTCCAAGAACCAGGAAAGATTCACGGCTGTGTCATGAACTGCTTGAGAGGAGGCTGTGCTCAGGACCTCAGTGTGACAAACTGGTGTCTGGGAGGACACACGAGTCCCTGGTAAGACTGACTTGTCCTTGGAGCGGGAGGAAGTGAGAGGGAGTTTTACTATGATCTTAAGAGACTGCCTTCCTCTTACAGAATACCAAAAATGGAAAACAAAAAGAACCCATCTTCTAGAATGAACCCTGATGTAGGAATTGCACAACTTGAGAAATGCTAACGGTGGAAGCTGAGCTCATCCTAAACCTGAGTTTACTCCCAGGTGATGTGCCTACACAGCACACCCAGAGTTGTGAAGATCAATGAAGTCATGCCCAGGAAACCCCTCCTCAATGCCTGAGCTCCTGAGAGCCACACACATCTCCTTAGGTGGTCCACCATCCTCTGGTGACTGTGTAGCTACAGGGAAGGCTAACCTCTTTGCTGTATCACTCAGTAGGCTACAGGATGAAGAGAAGAAGAATCTGGGCTCTGCCACACACCAGTGATAAGCCTGGGACTGGCTACCCAAGTAGAGAAAAGGCAGTCAAAACACTCACCGATGTGGACACACCCTGCTTACCTGCCAGCTCGTCTAACAGCTGGGCCATGTGGGCACAGACAGAGCCACGTCTCCTACTCATAAAATTCCCGAGTCATGACAACACCACTTTGGGTCCCCACGTCTTTGAAAGGACAAGCATATGTGTGAGCGGCCAGAAACCTGACTGAAAGATGACAATGTCAAGTTCATACTGTCCGCAAAGGTGAGAAGCATGAAGGGGAGGGCAGGATGAGTGAGGGATCCGTCCCGGGAGAGGAGGTGGAAGCTGCACGTTCTCATGTTAAAAACCTGTGGTGCAGCATGAAGGCGACTTCTAGATGTCCGTGTTTATGGTGGGCTGCTGCCATCCCTAGGATGTTTTCCCCCATGTTGGCGTAGGAGACATAGGAAAATTTGCTGTTTGTTTCCACATTCTGGCTATGAGTACTTGAAATTCAGAGTCTCGCTTGTGGCAGGAGACTTGATACCTAAGAATGGAAAATTTCTAGGCCTGGCATACCCTTAATATGGCAGTAAAATGGCAGTGTAGGGACCGGCAGTGTCTGTGCCCCTTGAAAACATAGCGCGGAGGAGCTCTTGGGAAGCTTTACCTTAGGGAGCAGACCTTACACGCAGCCCGTTTATTGAGAACAGCACTAGAAGACTTGAAGCAGCTGTTAGTGGTTGTGCACACGTCAGAGGGTTGTGCAAAAGCATAAACCCAGCAGTCACCACCCAGGCTTCCCCTGATATCACTAGTAAGGGGGGAGCACCTAAGCCTGGGGGGAGCACAGCTCATGTCCTCCCCAGTGCGATCCCTGCTGGAAGCAGAAGGCGTGTGATGGGTGTGCTCATTAGCTTAGTGTCTCTCATGCTCAAGTCTGCAGGCACACTTGAGGGACTATGAGGATGGAAAACTCTGTCCTTGTTGTTTAAGGATATCTGGGTCCAGGGCTGAAAGGCAGGAGAAGGAAACCCTCCTTTGAGAGCCGTGAATGAGCTCCATGTACCAGAGCACTGCACAAGCCTGTCGTGAACGTTGCTCAGGACTGAGGGTGTTTAATTGCAAACATGTGATGCACTCTAAAGACAAACTGGTCACACTATTGACCTGTTCTCTGTGATCCCACTGGCAAAGTAAGAAAAAGTGAGGCATGGCCCCTTGGACCAAACGATATAAAGTTAACTTTTAAACATAGAAAAAAAGGCCCTGGGACTTGTCAGTTTGCCACATATGATTGCATGCAAGTTACCTTTCTTTTCAAGTGCAGTGAGACTTACATCACTTGCATCTCCAGCTGTCCAACATTCTGTAGTACCTGGGCGGCTCTGGTGGTCTGAGCTCCAGGTTTTAATATGGCTGCTTCCCGTCATCAGATAAGCAAGGAGTTATGGAAGCAAGTTCCTTTGTGCATCTGGAAGGTTGTCAGCAAGTGCATTTCTGAAATAATGACCCCAGTGGGCACGGTGGCACAGGCTCGCAGTCCTTCACTTCAGTGGCAGAGGCAGGGCTGCAGCCACACGCTTCATGGCAGAACGGCACACTCTAAAACAATTTTAATGAAAAAAAATAGGATTAAATCAGTGCTTTTTTAAAACACAAGTTTACAATGAATTTTTACACAGGGACAACATTCCTTTAAAACATGATAGGGTTTCACCTTTCACAAGATAGGCCGGGCTTGCTAGGAGTTCATTACGAAACAGAAGCTAGGCATGAACTAGCGGTGGTGACTGTGGTGGTGTGAATGAAAATGGCCCCATAGG